TAAGCATTGGTGAGATCATATAATAAAAATGCCGTAAAATCGTACATATCTCTTTTCTCTTCTCGTATCCTTTTATTACCTTTACATATTTATTTCCACGTTCCTATCTAATATTTTTGTTCCGAAGTTTGCTCCAAAGATATTAATCGTAATATTTAAGTAATATTAATCATAGTATATAATTATTTATCGTAGAAGCTAACTATTGTAACATAATTATTGAAAATCTTTTTTTTTTTATAAACGTCTTTAATATAATTCGTATGGGAAATAAAGTTTCTTGCAAAATTAATTTTTTGATGTGCGCATATATATCATTTATAAAATACGTAGAATAAAAGAAAAAAGAAATATTTTGTCGCTGTTACATGAAAAAATAAGAACAATTCACAATTCAAATTATCTGCCGGGCTGTTGGATCCAGTATCCCCAGGGAGCGAAAACATCACCATTTTTTTCTTGCATAGGGCCACGGAAAACTTTTATTTTGACCCGTTCAACATCATCTGTAAGCGGAGAGCAATTATATATTTTATTGAGAAATTATAATCTTTCCTATCATCTTGCTTATTAATTTTAATGTTATTTTAATATTATATTAAAATATATTATTAAATATATTATTATTAAAATATATTATTAAATATATTATTATTAAAATATATTATTAATATCGAAAGAAATTGCATCTTTTTCTTTTTATTATTTTGCACTATTTTATCAACGCAAGCGCTTTCGTGTTTTATAATATTATTGCCGCACAGTCTGCGATATTACCTTTTTTTCCAATTTTGTGACGTATAACGCTTCTTGATTCATCGCAATTTATCATCGCAGTAAACATCACTATTTGAAGCAGACTGAGTATAAATAGCGTACACTACACACAAAAAGTATTAATCATTTGATATGTGACTCAATATTCTATTCCGCATTATGAATATTATTGCGAAATTGCAGCTAAAGATAAAAGATTTAAAAATGCAGATGTCTTTCATAATTAATGATACAGAAAAGATAATGATGCTACATGAAACAAAAATAAATTGAAAATATAGAATAAAATTTTTTTTAAACGAGACTTTATTTTTCAGAAAAATCGACTTTAAATTTTGAAAATTGGAAAATTCTTTTTAATTTAAATGATCTCTAACGATTATATACATTTTTTTATTTCGTGACTATTTAAAAAATTTGTATAAAAAATTGTGTATTTACTCTATTAAAAAAATTAATTTTTTAGATACTTTTATGTACATTTTTTAATAATTTTAATTATTATTTTAGTAAATAGGGGTGAGAAAATGTTGGTTTTTATGTCTATATATTAACAATCACTATCGCGAAATGAGTGATGAATTCGAAAATGTAACGAAAAATTGTTCAAGTTTAAAAAGTCGTCAATATGTTATTATATAATTTTCGCGTAAATAAGTAGCCTTATATAAAAAATTTCATTTTACATTTTTGACTTATGTGTGTATATGTTATTTTATAGAATTTTCGTATCTTCTATAAAATTATTATCTTCCCGTTGTATCATTAGTTGCAAAACATGCTGTATTTGCATATAGTCCGCGGTCTGACTCACCAATAATCTCATCGTGATCGTCGTAGAATAGCTGACTGAATCTCCGAATTAAGGAGAGGAGAAGCTTATATGTAATTACGTGGCTGCATTTAGAGCATGACCAGTTTTCCATCTCGCGGTTTGAGGGACCGTTTTTCTAAAGAGAAAGTCGTATCGTCCTACGAGACAACGACAACATATCACTGAAAAACAGCAAAAACCTCAATCAACGCTTCTTGTTAATAACATTTCACCTGAGCGATCTGTGTCCGGCACTGAACGAATTCATCGTGACGTTGCAAAGACATATTTAACAGACATAAGTACTTCCAAACAGTCACGTTACGATTGTCGATTTGATTCGCTTCTGATAAAGCTGCCTCCGCTTCCGTAAATCGCTGCAACTAATTATTTTTATAGATATTATTTTTTCATTATGTTTTTTCAAGGATATTTTTTATATCTTCTGGATATCCTCTAAATGTCTTTCGGACATGTGTGCTGTTAGGGACATGTATAAAAATAATTTTTAAAACATTCATATGCGATTTACTTTGTAATATAATTTTTTTTAATTAGCAATTTTATTTTTCAGAAGCTTGAATTTTATTAAAATCAAACAATCCAATAATAGGCCAACTTGTGAGCCGAAAGATTAAGAAGTTACAAGATTTTTTATTAAAGACATAAAATAAAAAATAATACTAAATATAATAGAATTAATCCAATTAAATAAACAAGTAAACGTTTCGACAGTACAACTATCTTCTTTAATAAATAAATAACAATAAATTTAAGAAATATTCTTACATTAAAAATTCTTTACATCCTCAAACTTATTAGAAAGAAAGAATCTATATCTAACTGTACGAAATTAACTAATTACAGATTTTTAAAATAACAACACATATACCACAACATGATACGACTATCGTTATGGTTACGCTACAAATCCCATTAAAATAAGGCGCTAATAATTCTAATTTTTTTCGATGGTAAACGCATAAAATCAGATTTCTTTAGATTCACATTTTTCAAACGTCTAAATATTGTGATCCGGGAATCGTCAGTGTGTTAAAAATGTAATATGTAACAAGTCATGAGAATTCCGCAGTTGTTTCCTTCATTGTAAAAATTGTCCTTGTGATAACGAAACCGTTATAGAACGTGATGATAAGTTGATGAGATACAGGAAATTAAAATTTCCTGTTACCATTGTATTGAAGAAGATAGTTATACTATCGAAACGTTTACTTGTTTATTTAATTGGATTAATTCTATTATATTTTATATTATTTTTTATTTTATATCTTTAATAAAGAATCTTGTAACTTCTTAATCTTTTGGCCCGCAAGTTGGCTTATTGTTGGATTGTTTGATTTTAATTTATACACGGGCCTTATCTTAATTTCATATTATTTGCATTATTATTATTGGATTTTATTTTTATTATTGAATTTACCTCGTAAAAAGCGATTCCCGCACCTAGCCACGTTTCTGCCGTCGGTGAAGTCTGGCATGCGTTGAGGAAAACTTTTAACGCGCGCTCGTAATTGCCAATATCTTTGTAATACAGTCCCATTCTATCGACATTGTGTAATGCTGTCATTAATAACTCGTCTTCTCTTTCAATCATCTTACGTAATGCAACGAGACAAACATTTTTACCTCGTTTGTACGAGATGCAAATCGTCCGGTCGATTATACATCGCGTTAGAAAATTCGTAGCAGCGAATAGCTTCTACAAAATCGCACTTTTCAAAATAACAATGTCCCATTAAGCCGCTGATCGAGTAATCCTAAAAATATTTTTGAAATTTAAATATTTGTATTATTCACGAGTTACATCAATTTTATATATTATAATTAATTAATTTTCTATATATTTATAGTTATCTACAGTATTATTTTGCATTTATATAGTGTGTATGTGGGTGTGTGTGTGTGCGCACGCGCGCGTGTAGTAAAAATATTTTCAATATATTTATAAAATTTTTATTGCCGAAATATATTTTTTTATCATTTCTCTGTATTCCAATATATTATTAAAAAATTGATATTGATATATTTGAACTCTAATAATTTACTGCATTGATCAATATTACTCGACATAAGTTCTTTTATGTTATAAGTATTTATGGAGCAAATTATACAATAACATCAATAATAGAAAAGAAATCAAGAATAACCAACGCATATTCGTCAATCTATGATTGCTATACAAGCTAATAATAATTTATATTCGTTCTCTTATTCTTGTCTCTCGAAAAAATATAAGCAATAAATTATCAAATCTAACAAGTACCCGTGTCTAACATTGTAGACTAATTGTAAGCTTAAACGACTTGACTACGACGTAACTAGCAATTTTATTTGATTATTTCACAATATTTCACATATTGTGAAATAATCAAATAAAATTGCTAGTTACGTCGTAGTCAAGTCGTTTATTAAGCTTATTTTCACCACTAGCGACAAATATTAATTTTGATTGATATTAATTTTAATTGATTGTAGACTAATTTACTTTCAATTATATGCTACTGTTATTATTTATCATTAGACAATTATAAAACACACATATATATATATATATATATATATATATATATATATAGCACTACAAATTATATATGTATATATATTTTATAATTTATTTTATATTTTATTATTTGACAAGTTAAATCTCTCCGAATCATAATTTGCGCTTACATCTTAAAGACGAAATGCTGTAACTCTCTGATATTCCAATCTGTATTTTTGAAAAGGACCACATCCCGTATGGTCGAAACGTTAAAATAAATATATATACAACTTTAATTTGAGGCCAGTGTAGTCAGACCAAATCTATAACCTCTGTTTTATAATTGTCTAATGATAAATTATAACAGTAGCATATATAATTGAGAGTAAATTAGTATATTATATATATATATATATATATATATATATATACACTATTTTTATATATATTTATATATAAATAATATATCCACATATGTGCATAAGCATATATAAAATTTACAAAAATGGGTGCTTATTAGTCTTGCTACGTTACTGCTTTCTGCTACGGAAGGCCAGAAAGCATTTTTAGGTGGCATCTCGCGTATACCGGCACGGTAGAGGAACAAGAGAACACGTGATTATCGGTTCTTGTTTCTCTTACGTGCGTCCGCGTGAGCGATGCAGTGGTGTATGTACGTGTACAGACATACACCACTACATAAAACCCGAGAATTGGTTTCTCGGCGTTGGCAACACTGAAACCGGAGTTATTATGATATTCTAAAAAAATTGTCTACGTCATCTTAAAAATTGGGTATATATACAGCGCGCCGACATTGTAAGATACAGACATCGATTTGTTTTTTAAAAAAGTACACATTGTGATTATGTTAAGTAAAAAGAAATAATTTTTTAAAAAAAGTGTTATGTTCGTTGACAAAAAAGTAAGTTAATACTATTTATTAAAAATCTAAAGGTAATATTTGAGCGGATATATTAATTTGTTCACAGTGTCGTTATATACATAATATAACAGCATCTGACGCTCTAACTCATGCCAACAAACATGAATTTGTACTGCGTTCGTCATATAATCTTATAATTGTTGTATTTATTTATGATGTCGAAATGACTAAATTAATTTTTTAACATATTATTAGGATATTGAGAAAGACTGTCGTACAGTCGAAACGTTTATCGTAACTTTTGTATAGTATGACGTAAATTAATAAATAAAATTTTTCAATTAATAGCATATAAGCTCGTTAAGTTGGCCTTTTATTATATCACATATTTTAATTGTATTAGCCGAAGTTTAATTTATAAAAATATATATATATTTTTTATATTTAATAAATTTTATATATATATATATGCATATGTAAAATATCTCTCTCTCTCTCTCTCTCTCTCTCTCTCTCTCTCTCTCTCTCTCACACACACACACACACACAACGGGGGCCAAATCTCTCAAATTGGTCTCATGATCAATTAGCCTGGATTCGCACCAGGGGCTAAGTCTGTTGGTAATGTGAAACGAATTTAGCCTGGACTTGCACCAGGGGCAAAGTCTTTTGGTCGAGTCTACGAAATTTAGCACGGACTCGAACCAGGGGCAAAGTCTTTTGGTTCAAGTCTACGAAATTTAGCACGGACTCGAACCAGGGGCAAAGTGTGTCGGTAAGGGGCAAAGTCTATCGCACGAAGATGGCGGTCTCTTCTTTAGGCAGGCCTTTGGCGATCTGTCTATTAATCTGTGCCTGGGTGTACTGCCGACCCTTAATCGAGATTTTTCTCATTAGTCACGTAAATTCTTGCCCTCCACTTATCTCCCTCTTTTCGTCGTGACAGACATATGTTTGTGACATTCTTCCACGTTGATCTGATCTAAAAGTCTGTTTTTACACAATTGATTGTACAGGTTATATTTAAAACCGATTAAAAAAATGATAGAGCCAATATTAACGGAAGAGGAATTAACGCAAAAACACAAAAAGGAACGAAAGGAGTTGCAAGGTATCCAAAATCAAATTTCTTCTCAGTGGATCACTTGCGAGATTCAATTTTTTTTTTTTCTAACAAATTTGTGATGTTAGTAATTTCAAATTTGTGATGTTAGTAGTTTCAATTTAACTGAGATATTAAAAATTTTTTTTTTTATAGAATATCAGATCAGATCAGATAATTTGACGTTTATTTTCTGATTATAGCGCAGATACAAACTTTGAAAAAGTCTATTTGCAAAGGTGACAAGAAGAAGAAGAAAGAGATTGCGGAAGAGATAAGTCACTTAGAAGAAAGCTTAGAGAAACGGCAAACGGAAGAATTAAATGCATGGAAATTAGCACATGTAACTCTGAACGATGAAGAGACTGAGTCTACACAAGTGAGCGAAGAAGTTGATAAGGGCAACAATAGCTTGGAACAGTCGACGCACAGAATTTCCAAGGCACAGAAGAGAAGAGAAAAAAAGGCAAATGCAGAGAAAGAACGTAATCAAAGAATCATCGAGCAGGAGGCGCTCAACATCTTTGGCAAGAGAAATGTCGAAATGGAAGCCATAAAGGAAATTCTTTCCAAGCGAGACTTGATGATCTACGAAATCCCTAGTGATGGTCACTGGTAAAACATCTCATATTATTTCTCCTTAACTATGTATAGTCTTATATAGTCTTGTCTATTTTGCTGAGAAAAATAAAGGGACTAACAATACTATACAATAATTTAAATGTATCATTTGAGATTTGTTCATTTGTTAAAACGTATAAAAACCAGAATTTTTGTTTGTAGTTTATATAATGCAGTGGCACATCAACTCAAGATAAATGGGGAAACACCTCTGAGTTTAGATGATCTTAGAACAAAGACTGCTGATTATTTGAGAGAAAACATGAACGATTTTCTACCATTTCTTTCAAACCCAGATTCTGAAAATTTATTGACACCCGAAGAATATGAAAAATATTGCAACGATGTAGCTGAAACAAGCGCTTGGGGTGGCGCCGTTGAGGTAAATGTAGACATATGTCATACACTTGTAAAGTATAAAATAAATATAGATTAGTTGGTCTTTATGAGTTTAAATTATTTTTTCTGCAAATTGATATAATGATTAACTTGTGTAATTTTTTTCTCAAACTTTTATTTATAGCTGCAAGTATTGTCACGTATTTTGAAGTGCCCAATCGAAGTCATACAAGCTACAGGAGCTCCCTACATTGTCGGAGATGATTATAGCAATGGTAAAAAGGTAATGTTGACTTATCATCGTCACATGTACGAGTTGGGCGCCCATTATAATTCCGTTACCAAATGCGTTCAGGACGAAGAGAGCTGATGAAAATTTGCTCTAGGTCTCTATATTTGTGTCTTACAACTGTCTTCAAATTTTATTATCAAACGATTGAATTAATCGTGTATCTCGATTCACGAGTGTGTGCTTTTACCAGTCAATAAATTAATTTGTCCTATAGGGAAAATAACTATAAATTTTTAGACGGTATAAAATATTTTTATCAATATATAAAATACTAAAAATGCTGCCAGCAGAGAATATTCAATCTTCCAACGAGAATCACATTTTTAAACTTTACAATTATTGCGCGAGTGATTATTAATCACATTAAAGTTTATAAGAGAGAAATTCTTCTAATGTGTATAGTGACTATTAAAGGATTAAACGTAGAAAATATATTACAAATCTTATTATAAAAGCAAAAGTTATATTCCAGATTAAATTTGCACTGAAAAATATTAGTATTCAGAATAACTAGATTTAGTCTTTATAGTCACACATACACACATTGTAGGAATTTTTTTTCTACAGTCATTAGTTAAATGCAAGATACATATCAATGAATCATGAGTAAAAAGTATTTCCTTGATCATTTAACTCAGTTTAAATTTTTGATCTGCACATTTAAGCTAAATATGACTGCCAAATTCTATAAGAAATATCACACAGTAGATTCCTTATATAATATAGTTCTTATAAAATCATATATATTTGCATCATGTATTAATCTTGTATGTGACTCTTCTATTAGATAAATGAGCTTTAACAGTTACATTTGGTATTAAATGTGCTATGAAAATTAGATAATAAACTTTTTAAAATTCTTTAGATTCGACTGAATTATAACTAAAATATTTCAGTACAGTTTTGATGTACAAAACTGATTTAAAGTTCCTGTGTTCTTAGCAATTAAATTTATATAGAATAATTATATATTTTTCATATGTGTGGATGTCAGACAATATAAAAACATGCTGCCAGCAAATATTATGCAAATATTTATTAAGATTCAATGTTCTTCAGTTTCTAAAAGGATAATAAAGTATGTGTCGCTCTTTTTTATCGCGCATACTATTCGTGTTCATTGCAGTAGCTGTCGCGAAATATCGAGCGGCTATCAAATCTACGTCTATAAAGAAGGAAATTTTACGTTCAGTCGACTTGAAATAGTATAAAACAAAATAAACCAGAGTAAAGTAATATTGCAAACAGGTTGGATAAAAATGCTTTAATTTACTTCGATTCGTAAAAATCAACCTTGATCACTAATTTTTGGAAATAAAGACTTGTAACACTACAGTTACTGTACATCTTGAACAATTAGTTACTACTTAGAACATTGAGATACAGTCCAATATAAAAAAAATGGATTGTTTATTATTTGCCAAATATCTTTCTCTTTGGTTCTCTTATAAACAGTTTTCTAATTACTTTTTATGCGCGAGTGATTATTTTCTCAGATAAGTATAATTATATACTAGATTCTATTTATAATATAAAATTTTTTTAAAATTATTTTAAGTCTAAAAATATATTAATGACATTTTTTTAAAGAGGGAGAGAGAGAGAGAATATTATAATTTATGTTTATCTTACAAATCACTGATTGAGACAACAATAGTAGGTATTATAAATAAGTTTGAAACTTGAAAATTGTTTTTGATGTATAATAATAAAAGTGATAAAAAAAGAAAAACGCGGGATACAATGAATAATTTATAATTATGACATTAGGAGACAGGGAACATTCTAATTTACACACACACATATACACACATATATACATACATGTACAAATGATACTGTTTTCTTACGTGTTCTTGCGATTTTGTAAATATATATTCGTTTGTAATAAATGTCCTGTAGTTGGGTAAATAAATATAATACATATAAGAAAAAATGTTTATATATTTTTAATAGTTTATAATTTAAAAAATATCTACACATGTGTATATAAGCCGCAATTAATTATTCAAAAAAAAAAACATTTATATTTTCTGTAATAAATATTAAAGTTTTCCAAATAGCTTTCTTTATTCAAATTACTTTCTAAATTATTATTTGAATTCTCATTTAATAATCCGTGTACTTTATTTTTCCCCATTGTCACTTGGTATTTTATCATCTTCGACCTCCTTATTTTTATTTGGATTAATGTCTGGCTTCATATGAGGAAAAAGCAATACTTCCTGTAAAGAAAAAAATAGCTTTATACTTTCTAACGAGAGACAATCTAATAGAACTTAATGGTTTGTTTTTAAACAATTTCAATTATAAAGATAGATTAATTAAAAAATTTGTTGTGCTCGTTTTGGGAAATGTATTTAACCAATCGCACTCACTTTAATATTGTTTGTGTCAGTGAGGAACATTGTTAATCGATCGAGACCCATTCCCCAACCTGCCGTTGGCGGTAAACCGTATTCCAAAGCGGTACAGAAATTCTCGTCGACTATTTGCGCCTCTTCATCACCAGCTGCTTTATCCATCGCTTGTTGCGCGAATCTATACATACATATAGTGTTAAAAATTTGTAAAAATGTAATCTTAATCTTTCAAAACATTTTCACGAGATAAATTTTAATAAAAATTAATTTATTACCTTTCTCTTTGAACGAATGGATCATTCAGTTCAGTGTACGCGTTGCAAATCTCTTTCTGCACAACAAAAAGCTCAAATCGTTCTGTGAGACCTTTTTTGGACCGATGCCATTTCGCCAAAGGAGACATCACTTGTGGATGATCAATGATGTATGTAGGATTAATGATCCCATCTTCAATACATACTCCAACGAGCTATTGTAAAAAAAAAAAAATAATTTTGAAAAACTAGGATCCATATATATATATATTATCATATATCGAACTGCTATATTTATTTAACTATATTTATTAGTATACATGTTTCTATAATTTGTTCTTATGTTACAAAATGCCATCTATTAAAGTGTCAAATTAAAAAGTTTTTAAGGCGTTACATTAATTTTCCACATCTGTATCCTTACCTTATCTAATAATCTCGCTGATGTTCTAGGAGGAGGACACTCAATATCACGGCTATCACAGAGATCGCTGAGAATTTTGTTTGCTTCCGGGGTGTTAAGCTGATCGGCTGCTGGCAGTTTGATATCAAGAATCCTCTCTAATTCCTGCATCATCGAGATGCGCTTGAAAGGAGGCGTAAAGTCGATTTCAACTGCCGCTCCGTCCGGTCCATCAGGATGGTACTGTATCCGATAAGTTCCATGTATAGCTTTCACCATGCCAGACACCATGTCCTCCGTCATTTGCATTAGATCGTTATAGTCCGCGTACGCCATATAAAACTCGCAAGTAGTAAATTCTGGATTGTGGGTCAAGTCGATGCCCTCATTCCTAAATTGCCTGCCGATCTCGTACACTCTGTCGAACCCACCGACGATTAACATCTATAATATTAAACATTCACGGCTTTTATCGTTGTCTCATCTTGTGCTTCATTCTTTCTTTCGTCTTTCGAATTTATTATGTTGTCAAGTCTAACGTAGAGAAGAAACGATTTATTTACCTTGAGATACAGTTCCGGAGCAATTCTCATGTACAGATCCATGTTGAGTTCGTTATGATGCGTAATGAAGGGTTTGGCAGTTGCACCTCCGGCAATCATGTTCATCATAGGAGTCTCAACTTCCAAAAAGCCCATCTCGTCCAGAAATTTACGCATGTAATGGATTATCCGCGCGCGTATGTGAAAGATTCGTCGAACTTGGTCGTTTAATATAAGGTCCAGGTATCGTTGTCGGAATCTCGTTTCCTGATTGTGTGTACAAAGGCTCTCAACACATACAATTTACACATACAATATATTTGCATATTATATATTTATATAATTTCTATGGCGGATTATGTATTTTTTGACCAAGTTACTTCTTACCCTGTCCTTGAGACCAAAGTGAAGATGCGGCATCATGTGCAAACATGGACTCAAAAGAGTAATGGAAGACGGTATAATTGAAAATTCGCCCGTTTTGCTCTTGCCGGGACTGCCAACGACGCCTATGACATCGCCTCTCTTGATCTTTGCAGTATCCCTCACAAACTCGTCCTCACTTTTATAAAGTCTCGCATTGGCCAACACTTGCACTTTGACGCCCTCCCCTCGAAGATCATAGAAAATCAGTTTGGCGCCAGCCTCCCGAATCGAATGGACACGTCCGGCTATATTATATACCTCGTTCTTCAACGATTCACCATTCTTAAGCTGCTCGCTAAACTTCTCGATGAATTCCGTAAGAGAGATCGATACGTGAAATTTGTGTGGATAAGGCTCATCGTTTGCATCTTTAAGTAAACTGATGATATTCGACCGGAGCTTGAAATATTCCTAGAAACAATAAAAATATAGTTACAATGGAGAAATGAATAGACAAATGAGTTAATGGGATAGAAACTAAAACAAAATACAATAAGAATATTGCTCAATTTTATAATCACAGGCTGACAGACAATTCAATTGAGAATGTAAACTATGGAAGCACGATAAGAGACAAAAATTGAATTGCTGAATTATATAAAGATGTGCTTGCTGATCAAATGAAGAGGTTTCTATTCTACGATATAAATACTCTATCTCGCAAGGCTGTTTAATGCTTACATTTGCACTAATTTCTTCCTCCTTGATATCCTTCTTCTCCGCTTTCTCATTATTCTTTATTTGATCCTTTTGAGCAGCTGCCGCAGCCGCTCTGGCCTCTTCCTTTTCAGCTTTCTCTTTGGCTTTCTGCTCAGCTTTGAGACGTCTTTTGAGCTCGCTGCAATCAGAGACTAGCTTCAGCAACTCTCTCTCTTCTTCTCTAGCAATTCGCTGCCTGTCGATCGTACTAATTTTACGCACTTGGTGTAAAACCGACGAAGCAGAGACGGCTGACGCAACTTTGTCTCGCGATTCGCAAGCCATGTTACGGGCTGCGTGTTAAGAACGAGAGCGCGAATTCTGCTCAGGGTAGCGAACATGATCTCGTCATACCCCACGAGATTAGACCTCGTTCACGTGACGTCAAAGAGAAAGAGAGAGAGAGTCCGAGATTTGTTTTCTAAGAGATATCGTTATCTGCGAAGAAACACGGACGGAGAATAGGGAGGTCCACGTCGCGAGCAACGTGGGAAGCCGCGTGGCGAGCTGCCTGAAGCCGACATCCAGGTTAGGTCTCTGGCGCGCGCCTTGAAGCGAACTCGCGCGGTTCACCGATCATCCGGTCGCCGAGGACTGAGATTTCGGTCCGACAACACTCTACGCACTTTGCTTCACACATACTCACTTTTTCGACAATTTTTCCTCTACGTCCGCCATACTGATGAACCCGCGGTCCGCCGTGGAAGTGGAAGAGACTCCGGTCCGGTGGATGAGCCGCACGTTGGTCAGACTGCGTGCGAGTGCGAAAGCGAACGATCCGGGAGTGCGACTGCACGTGAATGACGTGAAACGTCCGGCCGGTCGAGCTCAGACCTTTGCAGACCTCGGACTTCCGATTCACGTCGAGGTACGCTACGTCGATCTCGCGGGCGATTATAAAATTTTCTCTCTCTCTCTCTCTCCGTTCTTAATAAGTATACTTTACTTATGCTTACGCGAACGATCCCAAGAACAGAAAAGTCAAAATGACATCATATTGCCTAAATTTGACGTCATATTGACCAAAAAATGAAATTTAGTCAATGTGACGTCAAATTAACGTCATTTTGACTTTTCTGTTCTCCTTTATTGCACAAATGTCATTTTGGTTTTCAGTATTTAAATATATATGTTGGCTTTATTTATTTAGAAAAAAATAAGGGTAAATACATAATTTAAATCTCGCCAAGATAATGCAAATTCTTTTTAGATTTAAATTCAAAGGAATTTTTTAAAAATCTGAAAAATATATTTTGAATTTTAGAATTATTAAAACATTTTTTTCTCTTATTTAAGTTATGATTTAATTTTTCTTTGTTTATATATTTTTTATATTTTTATTTATTTATAATTTCTCATTTCCCGCGCATTCTTTAAATTTTCCAAAAGTCTCATCGTAATTTTAGGATTCGGATAAGTTGGAAACGTTTGAGAAGAATATTCTTAAAGAAATTGCTTTTCTTCTAAAAATCTAAAATTATATTAGTTTTTCATATACAAATCTTTTACAAATTATATATATATTAAGAACAATCTTAATATTTTATACAAACATATTGGCTTGTGAAGAATCTTCGGAGTAAACGCGGTAAAAAATGTATTTTAAAATTTTTTAAATTCTGCACAAGCTATGTATAATTACATACATATATATACATATATATATAATTATACATAGCTTATGCAAACTTATATATTTTTATATAATTTTATATATTGTTATATATAATTACATAAAATTACATAAAAATTTTTTAGCAGGGCTAATCATACCTCTAAATGAGATGCGTTTAAATGTACGATGAAAATATGATTAACTTTATAGTAATATTATTTGTATATTTAGTACATTTATCTGCGCCACTAAATGGGGCTCTTTATATAAATATACCGATAAATGTGACCTCAATTATTTTTAATTGTATCGTATACTTCCTTTTTCATATCTATACATAAAAATATATTTTATAAACCCACTTTTGTCATAAAATTCACTTGGAACGAACGTCGTCTTGTCTTTGCGTGCAGTAACATTTCGATGATTTCGACACATTAGCATGACGAATAAAGTATATGTTATGGAAAAATTCATTAACATAGATAAAAGACGTAAGATGAGGCAATAGATGATATGTAAGATAAGGCAGTTTACGTAATATAGAGTATAACAGATGAGTCTTCTCGCTTGTCACCCAAGTCTCATCTGCTTCATCTCGCGTGTCATCATTGTTGCACTTGAAATATTATATATTCCTCCAGATCCCGACTTGAGAATTTACATCGCAAGATGTCGGCCGATACATACAACAAGGTCACTCATTGCATATTCGACATGGACGGTTTGTTGCTCGGTAAATAAAATTTAAGTTAATTTATCGTTAATTTAAGAGTTATTTAAGAGTTAACTTATCGCATTTTTTTCTTTTTTTACAGATACAGAACATCTATACACCAAGGCTTTCAATCGTATCATCAATCGTTACGGTAAAGAATTCACGTGGGACCACAAAGCAAAAACGATGGGTTTCAAAACCAAGGACGTTGCTAGTTTTGCAGTTGAAGAGTTGGAGCTCCCAATAACGGCCGAGGAGTTTTGGCAAGAGATTGTCGGGATCTTCAAGGAATTGTTTCCGCACACTAGTACCATGCCAGGTACTCTATACCGAAACGAATTCCACGATTTTATAATGCAACGTATATTTCGAGTGACAATATATATCGGATCTTGTCCGAAATAATAGGCGCTGTACGGCTCTTGAAGCATCTAAAGGAAAACAACGTTCCGATTGCTTTGGCCACAAGCTCCGACCGACACAATTATGATTTGAAAACCCAGCGTTGGCATGATCTCTTCGAGATCTTTGATCACAAAGTGATCGGCGGCTCGGATTCTGAGGTTGTACACGGAAAGCCGGCACCCGATATATTTTTCACGGCCGCCAAGCGTTTCGACGACAATCCGGATCCTTCGAAGGTAATGTACTCTTCGAATAGCTTTCAAATACTTTATATTTAATAACTGATAGACGTGATTGAAACTGTTAATTGTTTGCAAACTCTTTTAGTGTCTGGTCTTCGAGGATGCGCGCCAAACGGGGTGAAAGCTGCACTAAACGCTGGAATGCAGGTCGTTATGGTGCCGGATCCGATGCTTCCCAAACATTACACGAACGAAGCGACTTTGGTTCTGAACAGTCTCGAGGACTTTCAGCCGGAGAAGTTTGGATTGCCACCATACGAGACGTAATATATTTTCTTTTTCCAGGAAAAGACTATCGAGGCGCACGCATAATAGATACATATATATGTATATACAGAGTCGGTATTATCTTGAAATGCATAAAATTAAAAATAATTTAATGATTTAACGCGTGCAGTCTTTCCTTCGATTTGTCTGTTATTTCTTAATCGATGCGTATTTTTCTCTTTAAATCTCCTTGTCTGTGTCGTCGGATAAATCACCCAATTCGTCGAAATCCTCTTGCGTTCCGCCAGCACCGCCAAACATTGCTGCGTTAGAACTGGCGCCGCTGAATATACCCGTAATATTTACGCACGAGAACTTGTTGCGTTTCAATTGTTTGTCGATCGCCTCTTTCAGGGTGTTGTACGCGGCGATCATGTCTCGTGAACACTGGGACAACAAATCTGAAAGCAGATTTTTAAGAGATTATTAATTCACGTTTCTCTAATCGTTTCATATGGATTTTGGTAAAACATGTAACAAAAAGGGATCGTTACGTTTGTAAACCGGTTGGCTAATATCAAACATCTTGTGATAATAGTATAATTGATTGTAGAGATCCGTCCCGGAATACTGAAAAAGTATAAGCGTATTATTATCACCTTGTAGTGAAAATTTCGTGTAATTTGTTCGATTAAACTTACAACTTTGCTCATGGAAACGTCTTTGCATACTGGACAATCCGGAAATTTTTTCGCGAAATCTAACGGCAATCTTCTTGTTCGGTTGGAACAAAGCGGATTCTCGCATTCCAACCAACCACTGTAATATTTGCTGATCGCTTTCCTTATAGCAAGTTGAATCACATTCTGTATCACGTTTGCATATTTCCATGGTGGTAATTTACAATCCTGATTAGGGCACATATTGAGCGACAATTGCCGACCAGAATGCTATGCAAAGAATAACAAATATGTAAATATATTCTCAATATAATGTAAAAACTATTATAAATATATTACTACTAGTTTTTTTTACAGAGATAAAATATTCGAAATAATCTTGAAACTCTAAAAAAAAAAAAAAAAAAAAACACTTACAAACTCTGTTACGGTATCTGTAATCACTATGTCCGTATTGCATCGTTCATTTTTACACTTGAATGTTAAAGGAAGACAATTGTTGAATCTATCATCATTGATAGCCAATGGTAGGTTCAGAGTTGCTTCGCAAGCTAACGCTTTTGGTTTGTAAACGAATTGTAAACCTGGAAAGCGAATTGACACATAGAATATATATCATTTCTTTTAAGATTTAAAGCTCAAACTCTACATTACCTAAATTATTAGCCAAGAAGACATCGTCGATGCCTTCGATCGGTTCGCAGATTCGTAATATCACAGGGAATATTTGACTCAGCAAATAATAATTGACGTCTATCTTTAATTTCTCATTATTCTTCATTTCATCAATGTGATAGGCTCGTTCTGTCGCGCTAGCGGCTGTTCCATCCTAATGCGGAACAATAATAAATAATTTTTATTTTTTCAAATATATTTATCCATTAGTATTTTTGAGTGTGTATAACTCAAATTGAAAAAATCGTGAGAAATTGCAAATATGATAATAAAAAACCTCGCATATAACATATGGTAGCGTATCGCCGGCTTTCCACATCCGACCACCTGCTTTATTTAATCTCAGCGCTACTATCACGTGAGACAATTGCTTTTTATCTGGATATGCGTCTGGATTTTTTGACAATTGTTTAGTGATGACAAATGTTGACAACGGCGTCGTTCCCTCTTTCACGCCTTTCGCTACGTTCTGCAAAATCTGAACGACCTGCTCCAAACGCGTTTCGCTCGATTGATCGCAAAGAAGTATATCTAAAACTTTCCTAAAAGAAGAAAAGAAATGTCACATTTTTAACGTAATATAAGAATAAAATCAAATAAAAATATTACATCTGCTTACTTTCCAGTATCGCAGGCTAATGGACACCAATCTCTTCTCACAATATCTAGACCCTTGTGTTCTTGCGCTAATTGTATCTGACCATTTGGCAATTTCGTCATTGCAACGGCGGCATATTTCTTCTTTTGCAAGAGCAGCAGGTATCGGAACACACCATCTATGTCTAATTCGACTTTTTGTATCGATTGTTGACTTCCCGCATAATCTAGAGAATATAATACATATATAACATTTCATTCTGCAATATTGTAAACTGATGATAAATTAACGTATACAAACTTGTCCATACCTTTCTGCCAATCGAGAAAACGTCGTCGTATTCCAAAATGTTGGTGTTTATCATCAAGGAATCAGTGTCACCATAAATCACCTCGTACTGTAGTTTCTCAACCAAATGTTTTGTATCCTCCAGAATCTGTCGACCCTTAGCTAAGAGAAACAATAGATATAATTCATGCTATGAGATATTCTAAGTATTTATTTCGCATCTTACCGGTTATCAGAGCAGCGAGACCCTTGGCGTAGAATCGACAATGTGTCGCTCCCAGACATCCATACATGGAATTGGCTGTAAGTTTCAATGCCATCTGCCTAATATGGTAATCCATTTTTTGTTCCGGCGATAGATTCGGCGTTTTCATCAGTTGTTTGATCTGCTGCCTGCTTTTGACCAATTTGTAAATCTCGGTCGGAATCACCCCGGCCTCCAGATCCGATTCAGGAATATTCAATTGCTGCGAATTATACAAATTATGTGTATTGATCCAAGACGCTTTAACATTTATTTGATGTTCGCAATGAAGACTTACCTCGACGTCGGCGTACGCTGCACCAGGCACAGTGGTGAAACACAAATTATACTCTTGTATGATACTCGGATACAAAGAGTTGAAGTCCATCAGCAATACCAACTTGTCGTAGAAGCCTTTCTTTGGATCGAGTACCAGACCTCCAGCGTATGCCGCAGCCTTTCTACGTGGACCATCTAATGCGTAATCTAGCATTAGTTATACATAATCACGTATAACAATATATAAAAATATATCGCCATCTCACCGTCGTTTCGTCCTTTCTTCTCAATTTTCTTGTCCGGAGTTATGTAATCCTTCAAATGAAAAGCGTGTAACAACAAATACTCATTTCTTTCTGCTCTTCCGCCTAACAGTGTCCTCGATAAGATGTTACCTACACACACACGTTCGAGGATTAATCGTAATTTTTATATTATTAAAAGAAAACATTAAAACGTATAGTACCAGCTAGACAGGTGATTTGAAGTGCAAGCGGTATAATGTTGAGATCCATTACTATGGTTGTAATATATCTCGCTTCTTTTAACGTCGCGTGCATTAGATTCAGAACTTTGTCCGCTGTATTGTAGAACAACGGAGTCTCCGCCGGCGTGATCTCTTTACATTCATGTTCCTTTGTCTTTAATACCTATCACATATATTTGTCAGACTTACGTGATATCGATTTACAATTAGAGCAATAATATATGATAATGTACTAGAGCAATAATATATGATAATGCACTTACTGCACTGCAAAGCGATTGCAGATCATAACTTCTAACTTTCAAGTTCAATTCTTTTGCCGAGATTTGTATATCACAAATTGGACGACCGACAAACGCTTGATTGAGAATTATCTTCCCCTATAAAAATAGTATTTGAATTAGTTTCCTCTAGCACATTCGTTATCTAATTTCAGCTTTAAAAATGTATATATATGTGTATATATATATATATATATATATATATATATATATATATATTTACTCTAAATAGGGGAGGAGTTGTTGATTTTAATCTTCCCATTCTGTTCCAATTTGACACTTTTAATGCAAACATTCTTTGCATCAAAACATCAAATTGAAAAGCACAGTCATAGCCTATTATTAAATCTGGATCTGCTTTCTGCATTAAAGTTAACAGCTCTTCGAGTAATTCACTTTCTGTTTCACATTTTATTACTTCAATATTTGCGATCTTCAAGAAAGCATCCCGGAATTGTCGCGGCCACGGGGTCTCTCGCGGATGTGTAACAACTGTACATAATTGTAAATCAAGGTTTTTATTAATATCTTGATAGACAAATTGAGAAATATTCAATTTTTAAAAATTAATGCTTCTTAATTACAAAATAATGTTAAATGTTTTCAATGTCGATAATAATTGTTAATAATAATTGAGACAATCAATAAATATGATGTAAAAATGAACATACAGCAAAATTGACGCTCATAAGGTGGTTTTGGCGGTTCCTTGTCAATATTATACTTGTGATGAATCAATACAACAACCATCACCACTTCGTTTTGCAGTTTTGTATTCAAGGACATCCTCACATTCAGGGTTGCTATGACCATTGGTGGCTTGGATTTCTCTTGAGAACACACCGATATATTGTCCATGTCTGAGGTAAGCACCTGTTGCATTGTACAAATACAAATTGTATTTGAAAAATTTTTCCTTTACTATACAACATGACAAATGCGCGTTTACTTACTATTTGCGAACACCAGGCAAACCGTCCCGCGGTGGGTGATATGTTCTTAATGTCTAACCAGCAGGGTCCTTTAATCTTTCGTTCTATAAGTAACAACTCTAATGCATTCACTGTTGTGCCAAAGACGCGTTCTATTGCCGGACCCGAGTAATCGGCATCGATTGCTGGATAACGCGCGTTATATCTAACTTCCAAATAGTCAGAAATTTTAGGTGTACCCTCCTTCTCGAAAGAATAATGCTTTTTCGTCTCCTTGCAATTGTATTCCATTATATGCGTCTTGTTGGCATATTCATCAAATTCCTTATACACGTCATCCATGGTAGTTAATTGTGATTCGTTATTTTTCATCTGTAATTCACGCGCATAAAAAAATATTAATGCTGCATTTAATAATTTGTAACAATTGAGAAATATTTACACATTTGAATAGTCCAAGAAAAAGTTGATAAAAAATTATATACATACATATTTTCTAGGCAAGAGATATATTCTTCTTGGTATATAATGTACCATAACACAACACGAACAATATACATCGTGATTCGGTACATAGGTCTTGCCAAAAAGATATACAGTTCCAGGATTTTTATATGGATTTTCGTATGCATCTAAATAATAGAACCTGAATACTTCTTCCTCATCTTTTGTTTTAATCAACTGTGGTGCCACTTCTGTTAGGTCAACAGCGTTACCGATTTTCAGACTTTTGACAGAAGTTTTACATGTAGAAGTCTGTATGTCTGCTCCATTCTTTTGAGATGTAACAGTTTTATTCGCCGGCAATGAGAAATCCATATCCATGCTTCCATCATCGAAATCTATAGTAGACAGCTGCAATTATATTTCACATGTTAAATCTTCTTACAGAAATGTAATAAGAGATGAGATAAAGATGGAAAAAGTGAAACTCACATCCTCCACACATTCATTAATATTCATTACAGCAGTATCTTCATCTTCGATTATCTGACTTGCACTTTGTGCAACATTATTAGGTTCTACAAATTTTTTATACCTTGTTTTTCTGGCTTTGAACTATTTTCTACCTTCAAAGAATTATTGGCTGATTTATTAACACTCTTTTTTTGCGGCGCATCAAATATTACAGTATCATCTATATCCTCAATTATCTGACTTGCACTTTGTGTAATAGTGTTAGATTCCACTGGTTTCACCATGTTTTGTTCTTCTAGCTTTTTAGATACTATCTTATCATCTATTTTTTGGTTCATGGATAAAATCTGATAATTTTGTCTGTAATAAATTTATCATCAAAGGTTTAAATTTCCATAAAATAATTTACATACAATATAAATATAATCTTCTATCAACTTACATGCTGCCCGAATGAACTGTATGACAAAATTTATTTTTATTGCTGCTTGCTGGTTTAGGACTATTTGTTGTCTTCTTATTTGTAGAGATTTCGCTAAGCAACTCTCCCAAAATATCATCATCTTTAGCCACTACATTGATGTTTTTCTTAGAGGGCATATTTCTAATCATACTTTGAATATCCCCTTTTTTCCCATTTTCTTCCTTTCTTTTCTTTCTAGGTCCAGCCATATTATGATGTCTTTGTTTTCTTGCTTCTTGAATGCTTTCTTCATCTAGATCATCATCAAAGATCTCCCTCCCATCTTCAACATATCCACTTTCTCCTACAATTGAAAATATTAATTTAAAATGCTTCTATACATTAATTTCTATAAAGATTAAAATTTTTTTCTTCCAAAATGTTTTACAAACAAATTGTTCTTTAATCTAATCTGCTTTACTTATAATGAAACATTTTATATCTTTCTCTCTGAAATGAGAAACTTTTATACCATCGTCAACTATCCAATCATCCCGCTGACGTTTCAGGACAGTATTGCTATATTCTTTCTCATCGACTTCATCATATACATTTTCTAACTCTTCAATCTCATATTTGCGTTTTCCACCACTTCGAAGCTCTTTCAATCTTTCTAAAGCTGAGAGTCTGCCAGTTTTATCAATCTTTTGACGCTTAGTTCTGCCAGAGGTAGATGCTAAAATATTTTTTATAAAGAACAAAAATATGCAGTACTCATATTCAGTATTTAAAACAAATAATAACATGATGCAATTTTTCATACTACTTATTCTATACGATCAATTTTATGTCAACAATCAAATATCAATGTTTACTGAATGATCAGTCATGCAAATACTAAATGTAAACAAAAGATTTAAAGAAAATGCAGTAGTGTTTGCAAATATATAATACGTCCATTGTAGACATTTGATTATACAGAATTGTATTATTTCGCGATTGACAAATTACTTACGCTGCGAATCGTCCATTATTGCTGCAATTCTATGGAAAACACCTTTGTTAGCATAAACACGCAAATGCCACTTCTTGTCGCACTAGTTCGATTCGACATGTGATTTTTGGCGGGAGATAAGTACATGTGAATCTCGAATGCATCGATATCGATATATCTCGCAGTTCGATATAACTCGACGGACTTGAGATTTGTCCGCGTTATGGCGCCTGCAGATCAATTTTCTAGTTATATAGCTAAACTGTGCACATAAGGGTCGGCAGTACACCCAGGCAAACTCCGAATTGATATTGGAGACACAGATTAATAGACAGATCGCCAAAGGTCTGGATGAAGGAGAGACCAGCATTTCTCACTGATTTCAGCGCCATATCGTAGTAGTAGTCAATGCAGTAACTATTAATACGTTCCCAAGATAAGAGCGTCTCATGCTCATGAACTCGTCCGGCGGCATGTACGAGATTTATCTTTTCGTAGCGTTCGCGTATTTCGGAAAGGACAGAATTTTATGATGTTATAAATAAATAAATAAATAAAATATTAACCTGACCTATTATAATTATTTTTTAATAAATGTTTCATTATTATTATCATCTAAGTCTAAGTCGTTTAATTAATTTTTAGTTTTTTAATAATTAATTTAATTTATTCTAATCATTTTAATATGTGAAAAATACTAATACGTATACGTTTTATAATGAATTAATATATTTCGAGAGTCGAATTATATATTTTTAATAATATAAAAGTGTTCAAAAATTATATTTGACTTTTAATTTTAATTATTTTAGCAAAGAGTTCCGAAATCTCTTACACACATAATAGAGATTTTGTTCATCCATATAATTCGCAATTAAGTATATATGTTAATTATTAATTTTAATAAAATACAAAATTAAAATTAAAGGTCAAATATAATTTTTGAACATAAATATATTTAATTCGTTATAAAACGTATACCCGCGTGATAGTATTTTTCTCGTACAAAAATAACTAGAACAAATTAAATTACTCATAAAAAAATTAAAAAATAATTAAATAATTTATATTATATATGATAATAATAAAACATTTTATAAAAAAAACAGATTCAATAAATATAAGTATATATATAACATGTACTTATATTTATTGAATCTGTTTTTTAATAAAATGTTTTATAAGCTTAGAAAACTTGACTTTGACGTAACTAGCAAATTTTATTTAATTATTTCACGACGGTTTGACGTAATAAAATGTTTTATTATTATTATATAAAATATAAGTTTAAATTCTTTAATTAATTTTTAATCTTTTATGATTAATTTAATTTACTCTAATTATTTTTGTACGAGAAAAATACTATCATGGGTATACGTTTTATAATTAATTTAATATATTTGTGTTTAAAAATTATATTTGACCTTTAATTTTAATTTTTATTTTATTAAAATTAATAATTAACATATATACTTAATTGCGAATTATATGGATGAAAAAAATCCCCATTATGTGTGTAAGAGATTTCGGAACTCTTTGCTATAAAATAATTAAAATTAAAAGTCAAATATAATTTTTGAACACTTTTATATTATTAAGAATATATAATTCGGTTCCCGAAATATATTAATTCATTATAAAACGTATACGTGATATTATTTTTCTCATATAAAAATGACTAGAATAAATTAAATTAATTATTAAAAAACTAAAAAGTAATTAAACGACTTAGACTTAGATGATAATAATAATGAAACATTTTATTAAAAAAAGATTCAATAACTAGTAGGTCAGGTTATAATTTTTTATTTATTTATTTATAACATTATGAGCTATTAAGCTCATCATCTCGTTCGCTCTCTGTCTTGCTTTCATTCGGCAAGTCACAAACGATATATGATACTCGTATGTTCCTACTTCAACTCTCGAGAATCTGAAACAAACGAAACTCGTGTCCAATATACAGGGTGTCCGGTAACTAACAGACCAATGATTACAAATGGATTCTTTGGTCAATTTGGGAACGATTTTTCCTCAGCGAAAATGTCGAAAAAGGTCATCATTTTTTACAACTTTCCAATCTTTGTCATTATGTATCTTTATAACTAAGCCTTAAATTAAAATTTTATTATAGTAAACTCTACCTGAAATTAACTGAAGAATGTAATTATGTTAGACTTTTAACTCCAAAACGTTTAGTTTTCAAAAAACCTATTTTTTTCAATCGCTTATAACTCGAAAATTATTGACTTCTCAACATTTTTGCTAAGGAAAAATCGTCTCCAAATTGGCCAGAGAATCCGCCCTTAATCATTGGTCCGTTAGTTACCGGACACCTTGTATATATTATATAAAAGTGTATAGCACGTCAGAAGCTTGTGAGCTTACAGCGATAAGTAAAAACAATTGCGTATTTATTTCATTGCGTTTATCTGTTTAAACGCGCGCTTTAATTTTTCCAACGTTTTTGCCTGTTTATATTTTAAAGGTCCTCTCTTCTAAAAATCTTGTTTTAAAGATCCTCTCCGCGAGCAAAATTCGAAAACATAAATTATTTAATATTTTTACTTTATTATTTGTAAATCCTCGGTAATTTCAAAATTTTTCTATTTGAAAATTATTAATTTTCTATTGCCAATTAATTTTATCACAGACTTTACTCTTACTCCCATTGCACTTTCGTTTGCGGTTTTCAGTATACGATTTTTTATCGTAGTTACTGAAAATTATTATTGTGAATTATACTTGTGCAGTGATTTGAAGAATTTACAATTTCGTTGAAATTGTTGATTTTTCAAAAAAATTACGAGATTCGCGGAAATTGCGTGCTTTCTTGGCATTTTCCGTTCGCGGCAGGCGGTTTATTTTTATTGTTGCAAGTGTTTTTTTTTTTTTTTTATTAAAATAGATAATAATAATGTGAAATAAATCACGATATTTGACAGATGTGCATATATATAGAAATTGTAATAATAATAATATTATATCATAAAATTGTAAATTGTTTCAATTTTTTATAGACTGCGATAAAAGATTTTACATTTGGATAAGAAACTGCGGTAAGTAAAAATATAAAATTCTTGAAAACGTAAAAATATTTGATAACGTAAAAAGGTGAACTTTGAAAAATAAGGAACTTAAAAATTGCACTAATAAATGGGCTATATATATGTGAGCCGTGCGCGGATGTAAGGTGTGTTATATCGAAATTTAATTAATAGAATTGAGAATTAATCCCAATTTTAAGTCTTACAAATGTCCAAGCTAATTTTTTGTACCTCGTGTACATTTTTGAAAGTTATATCGAAAAATTAAATTTCAATATGCGTCTTACATCTCACATTTCGCATACGGCTCACATATAGCCTATTTATCTCTTATACTTTATTTCAACCCTTATAGAAATTTATTACTAGTAACGCCAATTTATCACTTATTTCGAGTAATTAATCACTTTTATTTCGAATACTTAAATTACTGTATATTATAGTATTTTAAATACTCAAAATAAGTGATTAATTGGCGTAGTGATAAATTTCTACAAGAGAATAAGGAGCCTTTAAATTCTTAATGTAAAAAATTTCAAGTAATTTTCTTTAATAAAATTTAATTAAAAAATTTAATTAAAAAATTTTTGAACACTGTGTTATATCACATTTAAAATCGTGATTATTTCAATAAAAAAACATTTTATGTGTAAAAAATATATTTTTTATATTTAATAAATTTTATATATATATGCATATATGTAAAATATTCTCTCTCTCTCTCTCTCTCTCTCTCTCTCACACACACACACACACACACACACACACACAACGGGGGCCAAATCTCTCAAATTGGTCTCATGATCAATTAGCCTGGATTCGCACCAGGGGCAAAGTCTGTTGGTAATGTCAAACGAATTTAGCCTGGACTTGCACCAGGGGCAAAGTCTTTTGGTCGAGTCTACGAAATTTAGCACGGACTCGAACCAGGGGCAAAGTCTTTTGGTTCAAGTCTACGAATTTAGCACGGACTCGAACCAGGGGCAAAGTGTGTCGGTAAGGGGCAAAGTCTATCGCACGAAGATGGCGGTCTCTTCTTTAGGCAGGCCTTTGGCGATCTGTCTATTAATCTGTGTTGGAGACCTCGTGCGGTGACAACGCGAAACTCCGGTTTCAGTGTTGCCAACGCCGAGAAACCAATTCTCGGGTTTTATGTAGTGGTGTATGTCTGTACACGTATATACACCAACTGCATCGCTCACGCGGACGCACGTAAGAGAGACAAGGACCGATAATCACGTGTTCTCCTTGTTCATCTACCGTGCCGGTATACGCGAGATGCCGCCTGAAAATGCTTTCTGGCCTTCCGTAGCAGAAAGCAGTAACGTAGCAAGACTAATAAGCACCCACTTTTTGGAAATTGTATATATGGTTATGCACATATGTGCATAACGTATATATATAACATATATATATATATATATATATATTATATAAGGGATATGTTGATTATATTCTTGATTTCTTTTTGATTATTGATGCTATTGTATAATTTGCTCCAAATACTTATAACGTGAAAGAACGTTGAGTAATGTATAATCAATGCAAGGATGTTCAGTATATCATCCAGTATATAAATTAGAGTTCAAATATATCAATATCAATTTTTTTATAATATATATATATATATTAGAATATAGAAAAATGATAAAAAAATATATTTCGGCGATTTAAAAATTTTTTTAATATATTGAAAATATTTTTACTACATACACTATATATAAGTGTAAAATAATTCAGAAAATAAATTTAATAAAAATCTACATACCAGCTGTGTGCATGTGTGCAATTGATTTATTACTTGAAATTTATTTACGGAATTATTTTGCATTTATATATTTATAGTATGTGTAGTTGTAAAATGATTAAAATATTTTCAATATCAAATTTTTAAGTTTATCGCCTATATAAAAAATATATTTCTATGATTTTCTATATTCCAATATATTATAAAAAATTGATATTGATATATTTGAACTCAAGTTTTTTACGTGATTAAATATTCTTGCATTGAGCCATCATACGTTACTCGTAAGTTCTTTCACGTCATAAGTACTTATGTAGCAGAGAGAAAGAAATGAGAGTTATACAATGTAACATCAATAATCTTATATATTATAATCTTATATATATATATATATAATATTTCATTTATTTATAAAAAACATTTTATAAATAAGTAAAATATTATACAGACAATGTACAAGATGTTCAGTTTGTGCCATAACAAGCTTCAATCAATAATTATTACTCCAATGAGTA